TGCTAACGATAGTCTCATAATCATTGAGTGTCAAGCCAAGTAGCCGCCGTTCTTCAAAAGCACCAACCTAAGACATTAAAGCACACGCATAAAAAAATAATAATAAATAATAAATAAAATAAAACCATTAATTAAAACTTGAACATCCAAGTCCAGTTGATATTTCAGAGCTTTTCCGTCTTTTAGTATCTTGTATATGCGCACGTGGAGAACATCCTTGCTAAAGTGCGGCGAGCATGTGTGTGTGCGCGCAAGCGAGAGATGGAAGGAGAAGAAATTAGTTAGGTTGCCTAATTCTTACCACCCAGTTCTTCAAGGCTCGTAAGCTAATTTTTTCGCTTTTGAATCCTCCATTCAGGAGATTTTGAGTCCTCGAGGCCTCAACTTCTCGCATGAATCTAGTAAGGTCCTTCAAGAAAATGTACCTGATAAAGTAATTATATCACAATAAGCGTGGAGAACCTCTAATTTGTAAAATCTGAAAGACCTCACGGCAACTCTGTCCCCCACCACTTATTAGTTATAATTCTTATCAATCTTTACTATTTCAGTTATTGATCATTTTTATGAATGCAAATGTTACCAAGATGCAATCCAGTTACAAGCAAAGAAAGGAGTGAGCCCACGTCCCCCGCTGTCAAACACTTAGGTCAGTAAAATAAGTAATAAAAGCATGAACAAGCATGTAATAGGCATACACAAAGCATGTTGCGTCATTTTGGATACAAATTTAAGAGAAACAAATCAAGAACATACCTGGACCCAGGCTCAGCGACATGCCGAAATATTTTTTCCGCTACCATTTCTGCCTCAAATCCACTTCTGATGTCGATTGGCTCATCCCGGTGATTATTATCTTGCATTTGCTCCAATGTAGAGAGGGCACCATGTTGAACTATATTCATCAGCCTCTGCATGTTCCAAGCAGAGACATTTTCAGGAGTCAATCTGTGGAGGAGATCAATAGTTATCCCCTGATGTTTTTGGTGTCCCTTCTTAAAAGGCTGCTTGCCTGATAAATAAGGAGATGCCCCCCCGGGGGCAGTGGGAATGGTTGCGCCAACATTCTGGACATTCCTATCCCCCCCTGCATTTCTCTCTTCTTCCTCTTTTTTTTGTATTTCAGTCAAAGGCGGACCTGAGAGTGCCTCAATTATGTATTGACTGAAAAT